AACTATTAATATTACAAACATATACTCATCTGTGCTCTCTGAATCCTAGAAACAGTTACTTATACAAACTATGTCCTAATGAACCCTCACACTTCCATTTGTATATGAACGAATAATTTTGCATGTTAGTATCAAACCTCATTCCTAGGATATTCTTGCATATTATCAGTGATTCAGTAGAGCATTTAGTCTTACTCTGCAATTTGCTCTGCATTTGGGCACCTGTATGAACAAAGTAAAATGTTAATAATTGCAAAAAAACATAGAAAATAATAATGATATTATAAAAGTGTACTAATCAGAAAATAGTTTAATATCATAAGTACAGTTTACTATACTTGATAACATAGTATATATTTAAATTAATGTTAGGTATAACAAAAAAAATAAAGAGTTTTAATGACCTATTTTGCATTGAGTATTATATATTTACAAACAGATTATTGTCTATATTTTATTTATAAAGTAAATGCATTATTACCTCCATATGTCGAATCCACCATAAAAAAGCACTTAAAATTGCACAAAACTGCAAGAGACATGTACACACGATAGCGTTAATGGTCATACTAAGCAGCCAGTCGTCTACCTAAAAAGGGTTCAGGTAGTTTGGGCCAGTGTTTCTAAAATATTCGATACACGGGGGTCTTTGTTTTGTATTATAAGTTAATTAATGTATTTGAAAGCAAAAAGAAAGTAAAAAAAAGAGGTTAGTCTTCGTAAATGGGTATATTTATTTAAAAACCCTTAAAAGGGCTGCATCAAAAAACAAACGTTTTCGGACTAAACAGTCCATCATCAGGTTTAAATTTTAAAGTTGCTAAGTTAAAATGCCTGAGCCACCAAAATACATGGGTAAAAACCCTTTAAATTACATATAGTTGTAAAACATTATACATCATGTTGTTAAAAAACTGTGATGTTCAGTATTAAATTAAATATGACTTCAGGTAGCATACATGGCTGAAGTGAGTTAGAGAGCTGGAGAGTAAACCTCTTCACACTGAGTTACTAGCTGTTCTCCCTACTACTTTACCCAGATAGATGCACCCTAGCCAACTACGTTCACACCCATAACCACAGAATGAATTTTGCAGATGTCAAAATCCTCGAAAAAGAAACAGCTTATAAGAGAAGACTTTTTTTAGAAATGACCCACATAGCAACAACAGATAATATAATCAACACAAAATCAGATATACAACACCTTAGTGAAATTTATTCCTTTCTACTGCGGTTGGAAACAAAAAATAATCAAGTCAACGAACTGTAATATTCTGAATAGTATAAAATTGTCCATTAAAACTCTTCTGACCATCCAATTGAAGTAGAAACTTAATCATTATTACTGCAATTGTTGCATTTTTACAGAAAATAAAATTCTTAAGAGTAATAACAATAATTAAAATAACTTTAAAGGAAATAATCACAAAGAAATAAATAAATTCTATATGTATTTATTAATAACAGAATTTAATTGTCTTAAATTAACATAACATAATTTTCAATAAAATGTAACTTTACACATAAACTGAACACAGCTTTAGTTCTCTGGCTGACATCTCCTAATATGATAGCTGACATGACACATTAACCTTGAGGTACATACTAGATTTAACCTCCTTGTGCATAGGTTGACTAAACCTTGTCCAAAAAATGACAATGTGATATGTAGTTGTGTTTTAACTGTTTTGTTTCTTAAATGTTCAATGTTTTTTAATATTTGTATTGTACTATCACACTGGAGGAAAAAAACAAAAATGCACTTGTATTGTTTGAGTTTTCAAGCCACCATATAACGCATACAACTTATTCCTTTTTTTGCTATAAAAAATCTTCAAAAAAGTTTTTTAACATGGAACTTTCAAATACCACTTTTGCCTGCAACCTCACACAAGTAAGTGTTTCACTACATCTTATGTAAAATACACAATTTCACCATTTTGTAACATATTGTAGCATTCATCTGAAGATGTTAAAGAAATTTAACGAAATATAACGAAATCGTTGAAAAGAGCACACTTTGGCTTTCATTATTCAGCTGCTAACCCAATCAACCTTACCATTATACTAATTAATAATTGGACAGCTGTGATCATTCTTTGTTTATATATATATATATATATATATATATATATATATATATATATATAATATATATATATATATATATATATATATATATAATATATATATATATATATTATATATATATATTTATATATATATATATATATATATATATATATATATATATACAGGTGGTCCTTAAGCAATTGTACAAAGGAAACCGCAAATTCTATACATTAAAATATTAGGATTTAAGCAAACTTGCTTTATTAAAATAAAATGTTGATATTGAAAAAGATACAGGGTGTTTAAGTGGAAATTTAAAATTTTATTTTTCGCTATAATTTTCATGTTTGTAAACATTTATATATATAAATTTACAGCTGGTACATAAAGCCATTATATGGATGGCTATGATCCTAACATTCTATACAAACTTCTAAATAGAGCTAAACTAAAAATTGCAGAAAAGCTTGCATATTCATCACAGTCTTTTCAACCTAATGCTTCAGATAACATTATAATGTAGTAATAGTAGTATTTACAAATTAAAATTTGATGATTGTGATGCCTCTTGTGTAGGTAGAACCATCAGAAAGTTATCCACTAGAGTCTCTGAACATTTGAAAAGACCAAACTCTTTAAGTTTTGGTCAACACTAAGTATCCAGCAACCACAATTTTAACATCAATGCTGGTTCATCTATCTTACATGACACTAGTACATAGAAAAACTATCTAAACTAACTACTATAAACTAAGTTAGATTTATTGAAAGATTTGGAGATTACAAGGGAAACAAATGAAAACTCTCACTGTCTTAATACTCAAATTAATTTAAATTGTACTAAATTTAATCCTATATTTAAAAACTTTATTACAACTTCACCTCGTAGAGAACCCAGCTCGACTGTTAAGACTTCATGCACTGAGCATTTCAATATTAATTTTAAAGTTTTTCTATTGACTGTGGATTCAACTGAACTACTTGGATTATAACCCATTTATATATTTTGCTCTCAATTTTGATTTTAACTTTTAGTAATTTAACTGCATATTCAGATTTTTCCTTTTTTACAGTACTGATAGCGCTTGGTGGACCATTTTATTGTAGTCAACCATCCACTGTCTAATATATTGTTTAGTCTTTTTCTTACATTCATACTTTATGTCAACTTCAATTGCTCTCAAACTAACATCCTAATTATTATTAGTTTAATTAAATTAATTTTTCTTTTTTATAAAAAAACGTTGCTTGGCTTATTTCAGATGCCCCTGAGGATGATCTATTGATCAAAAGTACTTGGGCAAGATTTAATTAATTACTGTGTTCGAGATTTGCCTTGTATACCATTAAAAATATTGAGTTCGTTAAATATCACTTCTGTACTGTATTTTTCGCGCCTATTTAGGTTGCCATTCTATGTTGTGTTCCATCCTACACAACATAAACTGGCAGCCTGTCATATTATGTTACATAGACTAATAAAAATTTCGATGTTAAAATACAACTTTAAGACCTAAATATCATTAGGTAAATAGCAGTTAACAATGAGCACTACGAACAAATAATTAATAAAATTTTAAATTAAAAACTACTTAAGAAAGCCCTAAAATTAGTATTTTCACCACCCAGTACCTTCTGCTCGATAACCTTTACAGGCAAAATAACAACAAAGCACTTATGCAGTAGTGTATACAAAGTTAAATGATAGATTTATTTTTTGATAACTTGTAGTCAATTGAGTTTTTGATATTACCATCGTAAATTATTCATATCCCTATTATTAAGGTTGCTAGTCGAAAAATGAATTCGTCGAAAAAGTTTTTTCTATAAGTAGTAGTACTAGTAGTCACCATTCTGATTTAATCTGAACTTATTTTTTTTTTAAAGTCTTCTCTTTTAAAGCTATAATAATCTCTTCGTAAAATTGTTTATATTTTCGTCATCTTCTCTACTTATTGCAGCACTTGCAGAACTGGATTTTCTAATGCGTTCTTTTCATTTAAATTAAACCGTACCTATACTACACGATCTGATATATCTTTTGTAGTTTGTACATGTTGAACCAGTCTTTCGTTTATTCTAAATCCAACTCCAGTTTAGCTATTACTACAACTACCTTTAACGTAAAGCAGATTTCTGGTTTAATTTAAAAGCTGTTTTCCTCACCTTTTCTTTTTGTTTATGTTAGACCCACTTTACTATACATACTAAATGTACCTACTCATCTTGGATCCCATCCCTTTAGTTCTCGTATTCAGCATCGTAAGTAGGGTCGGTTAAACAAATTAATTATCACGTTTATCATTAAGCAGGTTAGCGGTGGGACTGGGATAAAAAGGAATACATAAAAATTTATTGGAATCAAAGGCTATGTTCTGTTGCTCCTGGGGAAAGAATTGTAAGAGAAAAACAGTAGGAAGTCCTAAAGTGGTCTGTCTACACACTACACACTACCCCTTTTAATTTTTCACCAAGTAACAAAACACAAAATTTGTTTAATTTATTAATGTGAAATATCGATAAACTTATTTTAACCTTTAATTGTAGCTTATTTTCGTTAAAATAGTAATTACTTTAAAATACCACAAGAAAATAGCTTTATAACAATATTAAGAAACCCCTTGTATAATCAAATTTATCAATAACTAGTTATGTTGTATCACATTTTTAAAAACATTCTTAAAATAAATATTCTACTGACTTTATAGAAAGTTTCAGTACTGAGTTTTTCTATAAATTTAGTAAACCTCAATTATGTAATAAGTTTTTAGATACATTGTAGTCAAGTTCCTTAATCCGATTATCTAAAACCTTTTGTATTAAACTTGAACGGATTTTTAAAGAAAATTTAACTAGGTTAGTCCTTATAGATGTTTCCTAATAAAAGAAAAAAGGAATTTCAATTATCTGTCGTCTTGTTCCAGGATGCTGTTTTGTGACATTCTTCACAAGAAAAGCTGCCCTACTGGCTCAAGATGCTCTGCATAATGTGAAGACTTTAAATGGGGTAAGTAAAATACGTTTTTTCTTCTTTATTCAATTTATTTAAATTTTTTATGTAAAGTTTCAATAATAAAAATATAAAATAAATTATTTACTTGTTTATTTGTAAATATGTATTAATAACTTTAATATATTTTGAGCATTAATTAAAATCAAATCATTTTGTTATTTAAATAACATATAGTTATTAAATAATAATTAAGAGATAGTTCTTTTTTATTGTATGAAAACATGAAATTTATTTTGCTGTTATTTATGTATAAAATATTATTTTTAGGGATAAAGCATAATTGAAATTGCTGTTTTATTGTTTTTATAATTTTAATTCTGATGTTTTTTTTTAATTTTATTAGGAAATAGTACTCCAGTCGACAGAGACAAAAATGCCACTAACCTTTAAAAATCATACGAACAAGCTGAATTTTGTCGAAAATGTCAATTTTAGGACGCTAAAAAACGCAAAAATCTTCACTTCTTTTACCCATAGGCCTTCCCTTAAAAACCTTCACGTAGATGAATGAATATGAAAAAATCTGTACGCCGTAGAAAAAAATGTGTAAAATAAAAAATGTAGCTAAGATAATTTTAAATAAAAGCGTTTATTAGCATTTTTTCAGTCAGTTACGCCCGCGAAATGAATGCTCAGTAAAATTTGTATAAGCCCGACGGTAAAAATTCAATATATTTTGATCCAAGTGTCCTATCGACAATAATAAAGATGCGCTTTAAAGGTGCAGTTTTTGTATTATGTAGCAAATAAACTCAATTTTAATAAAGGTATTAAATAAATGAACGTAGGGCGATTTTTTCCATTTTTTATGGTTCTCATGAGATTAATAGTATCTCTTTTATTGACCGGATACTATAAAGTTTTTTAACCTAAAACCCAATTTTTATGACGTATAACATGAAATTTTAGTTTTGAGTTTGGGCAACAAATATAAGGCATTTCAAATATGTTTAAACAACACTTAATTTAAACTTTCACATTTCAAACGATCTAAAGCGTTTAAAGCTGCTCTTTTTTAATTACGCTTGTATGTTTTTTTAAAAGTACTTAACTTCTGCTATAAATTTCACCAACAACAGTCTTCTTGGAGGCATTTCCTGTGACGTGCTATCGTCACAGGAAAAACACATACATACAAAAACTGTACTCTTTGCATTTATAACGCATTTTGAGTTTTGTTGATAGGACACTCTGATCAACAGATATCGAATTTTTACCGTCGAGTTAATACAAATTTTATTTAACATTAATTTTACGCGCGGAACTGAAATTCAAAATCGCTGGTCGCGTCAGGCGTTCTGAAAGAACAGTTTATTCTAGGTAAAAGTGGCTAATACAAATTTTTTTACAAAATTAATTCAGCTAAATTTTTTTAAAACATTTTTGTCTACCGCGTACAGATTCTTGGTAAATAGATATTTTTAAGCTTTTACCTCCCTTCGTAGGGTTTTTAGGAGGACGCCGCGAGTTAAAGTATTATACTTTTTTGCATCTTTTTTGGGTTCCTAAAATTGATATTCTCAGCAAAACTCAGCTTGTTCCTATGATTTTTATGAGTCAAATCTCTGAAGACTGGACTAAGCGTGTAGAGTGTAGAGCCTCATTAAGTCCAATATACAGCTTGACCTAGACGAGTCATACTCAATATAAAGTTTTAGACACTTAACTTCTTCTTCTTCTTCTTCAAGTGCTCTATCCGCTACGGAGTTTGGCAATCATCATTGCTACTCGTATCTTTAAAGCTCTTGCTCTAGATAATTGGTTAGATGTGCACTGGAACCAGTCTCTTAAATTGCGCAGCCAAGATATACGTCGTCTCCCCACGCTTATTTTGCCCCGAATCTTTCCTTGGATAATTAACTGTAGCAATCGGTACTTTTTCCCTCTCATCACATGACCAAGATATTCCAAATTTCTTCTCTTGATGGTGATCAACAGCTCACAGTCTTTGTTTATTTTTCGAAGAACTAAACTATTTGTTATTTTGTCTGTTCAAGGTATTTTTAAAATTCTTCTATATATCCATATTTCGAAGGCCTCTAGTTTATCGGTATTGCTCTTGATTAAATTCCAAGTCTTTACCTCGTACAGCAGTATCAAAAAGATGTAGCATCTAACCAATCTCATTTTCAGGTTTAAGTGAATGTCATTAACACTGCAATCCATTTATCTCTTGTTAAGTGAACCCAGTAGTAGAACAAAAAGTCAAAGATGCCATCGAATAGGCAGCTAAACTAAATTAAAAATGGGCTGAACTTAACAAACGACTTAAGGATGGCCGATGGAATAAATAAATCAACAATTAGAGGCCATATGAAGCCAAGAGACCACAAGAAAGACCGCAAATGCGCTGAGGTGACGATAAAAAGAACTGCAGGGCCAATATGATACTTTTACAAACAACAGAGATGAATGGCGATAATTAGGAGAGGCCTATATTCGGCAATCCAAGTAAAGAAAAGGGCTTAAAAAAATTGAACCCAGAGACATAATTTGATGCAAATTAATCCCTGCATTTCTTTCTAATATTTCGAGTTTATCGACCATGTGACTGAAACGAGCAATGGGAAGGCTTTTAACCTACTGTAACATCTTTTTTGCAATCTTGGTCGAACCAGTCGTTGCCCTGTTTGGTGCTGAATATTCACAACGTGCGTTCGGCTGCTAAGTTTAAAGCTTCCTTGCAGTTTTTCTAATTTTTGTGCTTGACTTGTGAACTGTCTAGGTTTGTTATATATTTTGTTTTATATGTGACTGGAACTGTGTCTCCATGTTTTTATTATTTAGCACATTGTAATTTCATTTGTATACTGCTTCTTGTTTCTTGGCTTTAGAAATTCTTTATCGAAACGTGTCCCCAATTATTAAGCTGTCTCTGTCAATATTTGCGTCTTTGTATCATTTTATGTTTAAAGTAGTCAATTATAACATAGTCAATTTGGTTTTTATTGTTTTCATTTGGTGATATTTAAATTGATTTATGGATATTCTTATGATTGAATTATGTGCTTCCCACAAGTATGTCTTTGGCAACTGCCACACTAATACGTGTTAGCCCATCGTCATTAGTAACATCGTGAAAGCTGCGTTTACCAATAAAATGTTAGTAGCATAACTCCTTTGATATCTGGCCATTCATGTATATAATGAATATTTTAATGAATATATTAAATTTAATGAATTAATTGATGTATTGATAGATATATACTATCTTCTATACCTATTACACTAGTTCACCCTTTTACTTGCTCATCCGGGCTTGCGAATGACAATAACGGAGTTGTTTCTATGCTATCACAGAGACCAATTTTATAATCATAAAAATAGTTAAAAATACGTTAATATGTAATTACTTCATGTGTTTGTCTATTTCATCTTATGTGTGGAGCTAATAAAAAATATTTGCCAATATTTTGAAATATTGTTTTGACTTATAAGGTATTTAGTTATTATTTGTTACTACTGATCTAATTGTCTCTATCAGTAAATTCAAACCACATTTTGGCAGTTTTATTGGTATGCCCCCAGGTTCCGCTGCTTTTTCATTTTGCAGCGCTTCTTCCTTAATAACGATTTCATAAATCAGTTAGAATAAATTGTGGTTTATCTTTTGTTAGATTTTGTATGTGCTAGAGAGTAATTCGAAAATCAAATAAAGAAGATACACCAAAAAGCCGCATGATTATTCCAAGTAAAAGAAACTGAAAACTATTTTAAAGACATTAATTTAAAGAAAATAGCAAAACGGATACTACGACTTTTTAAAATAAAACTACTTTTCTAATAAGATTAAAATTTTAGTCTTATCTAAAATAAGACTAAAATAAAACTTTTTTACCCAAAAAATCGTATATGGAATCACCATGTATTTTAATTTTATTTATTTTGTTTTGAGAAAACTTATTGTTATTGTTGCGAATAATAAAGGTTTTTATTGAAAATAAATAACCAATAAAACAATAAGATAACACTGCCCGGTACTGTATGGATTGTTAAATTGAATGAAAATAAATAACATTCAGTTTTAAAACAAAAATGTGCCTTATGAGGGGTTAACGGATGTGCAAAAGAGAAAGATTATTGCTCTTGTGAAACAAGGAATACCTCATACGGACATAACTACAGTGGTAGGCGTAATAAAAGTCTTTGTGTCAAAAACTTACACTAAGTACCAGGAGTTATGAATGCTTAAGAATAGACCAAGTATCTAAAAGAGACCCAACATTTCTTACCCATAAAACCAAAAACAGCTTTTGGAAGGTGAAGGTGTAAGTGTTTCAGTAGAAACGATAAGAAGAAGACTTCATGCACAAGCACTATGAAGAGTGGACAGTAACGGATTCATGAGTTAATCAGTCAACACAAGATTGATGCCTAAATTGGTGTCAAAAACGAATGTGGGTATTAACTGAACTCGTTGCTTATACTTAAGGTCACAGTGATAACAACAATAGTTTACATTGTTGAATATAGATTAACCACTGTTAGTTGGATTAAATAGAAAAAGAAAGTTAATCTTCTTCTTACTCTTCAGTCTTAAGTAATCCAACTTTGGATATAGGCCTCCCCCAAATCAATCCAGTGTCTTCTATTTTGCGCCGCTTGCTTCCAGTTGTATCCTCCGATCTTCTTAATGCCATCAGCCTATCTTATTTGTGGTCTTCCTCTGCTTCTCTTTCCTAACCATGGGCTCCATTGTTGTATTTCTTGTTTCCATCTCTTATCCTTCAGTCGGGAATTGTGTCCTCCGAAGCTCCATTTTAATTTTAATCCATGTTCTCCTGCGTCTTTTACTTTAGTTTTGTTTCTAATCCATTTGTTTGTTTTTTTGTCTATAAATCTCACCCCGAGCATTGATCTTGTCATCGCTCTTTGTCTTTTTATTATTTTGTCCATATTGGACTTGATGAATGTCCACGTCTGTGAACTATACGTGAGTATAGAGAGGAGACACTGATCGTAAATTCTGGTTTTTAAATACTGTTCTATTTTAG